CAAAAAAACTAATTTTGTATTTTCCACTGCTTCCATTTATTAGTCAAAGAAAAAAAGCAATTTTTTTCAAAACTTAAAATTTGAAGCCAAAAAAAAATCAGATTTTCTATGCACATTCCTAAACTCTCTATTTTATTTTTTATTTTGCTTTTCCTTGTTAATCGCCTACTTTTTCGTTTTTGTGCATTACGAATAAGCCCCTGCAAAAAAAAAGATTTTTTCTGAAATTCTTTCTCGTCACACGACAAATTAATGACAGCAAGAGAAAAAGTATGACGGAACTATAAAATTTCCCTTGAGCCCAGTGAAGTAGATTAAAAAAAAAAAAAAAAAAACTGAAAAACGGATAGTGAAAAGAGATCAAAAAGATGGGGAAAGGGGAGAAAGGAATAGAAAAAAGCAGGAAAAAAAAGTTTTTTTCTTCCAAGTTGGTAATTAATATATGCAATCCTAATTTGGGTACCTATTACCTTTTCAGGTCTCAAGACTTCATCTTTCCTCTCCCACCTCCGCCCACTCCCTCCTACTCACCCGAATTCTCTCACAAACACACATACAAAACACACTTAAGACGGAAAATAACAACACACATAAAACATTATAGTTAATTAAAACACAGAAAAAAATTGATTATCACTGATATATACGTATATATTATGAATGACGAATAAGTTGTTACAATTGTGCTATATATATTAGCTTACCCAAATACGGTTAAAGCTTTAAGCCAAATGTTTTTTTAGTAGTAGTTGTTTGACACAGTGTAACATCGACAAACAACGTTGACAACAACAACAACACTGGCAACAAAAAAAAAAAAACAAGGAAACACATAAAGCTTGTATTGGACTTCAAGTTAAAAAAAGAAGCTTATATGCATCAAAAAAAAAAAAAACTGTTGTATAAACTACTCTGAAGCTTTAGGAAGCATTAATTTAAAAAAAACGGTATCAGCAGCAGTAGCAGCAGCAGCAACAGCAGTGGCAGCAATAGCATTAGCATCAGCAGTAGCAGTAGCATTAGCAACAGCTACAGTTTAACTACAGTCAACCAAACATAAACCATTGTTATGTATTGTTGTATCAGAAGAAACAATTCTTTTTTTTTTTCTTTTGGTTTTGTGTTGTTGTTTTTCATTTTCATCTTTACCATCTTCTTCAAGTTGCTAATTAAAATATCAAGCTAAAAAAAGAAAAAAAAAACGAACAATGTCGTGCAAATTAACGCTGAAATAACAACAACAACAACAACAACAGCAAAAACGATGATGAAGAAAAAAAAAAAGGAGGAAACCATGATAAATTAAAACACATATGTTAAGATTAACAAAGCTATCAATTCAAAAAAGTGGCAATTAAACGTCATCTAAGATGCATCATCATCATTATCATCATCATCATCGTCATCATCATCATCATCATC